AAGACTTTTTAAGGACCCGCGGGAACCCTGATTTCAGTTGATACAACATGAATTTAATACCGTTATAAAAACAAGGAGGAATGACAGGAATCCCCCCAACAAATGAACCTATAAACTGACGTCAATTATTCACTATGTTTATAAAAACTTTATAGAAAGATTTCCTTTAAAACGATCAGAATCAGATGGATTGGCCTTAAATCTAGAGGCTGAAGAAGATGGATCTGAAGCAGCGTAATGTTAAGATGTTTGCACCTCTGAAGTCCTTCTTCTCGGATTCGGGGCTGTCGTCCTGCTTGCCGTCTTCCTCGTCCTTCCCCACAGACAGCCGCCCCCCTCCTGCCTGGGACAGCAGGTTCTTCAGCTGGCTGCACAGCAGGTCCAGCAGGGATTGGACCACTTTGGGACTCAGCTTGTCCGCATAGGTCCTGTAGGGACAGACACAGTTGTCGGTCTGCTGGGCGCCAGCTGAGGATTGGAACGGTTTTAGACGTTCTGACGGAGTTACCCGGTGCTGATGGCCAGGATCTGCAGCAGGCGGGTGGCGGCCACCTTCAGGGCCGTACTGAGCTGAGAGACGCCCGGTTTGTGCAGCAGCTGCAGGGGCTGGCCCAGCATGGTCTCTGTGCCGCACAGCTGAGAAAGCACGTTGAGAAGTCCACTGGAGATGGCCAGGGACACGTCCACTGGCTGGTAGCGAACGCTGAGCGCAAACACAGTCACCAGCAGGAGGCGCTGCTGAGCTTCTACAGTCAGAAAGCAGGAGGAGGAAATGAGAGGTTGGTGGAGCTGATCTTATAACAGCGATTAAAACTGAAGAGTTAAAATCCAAACTAGGTTGGTACCGATGTGGTGCTTGTTGGCCTGCAGAGCTCTCTCCAGTGTGACCGACAGCTGCTGATAGATTTTATGGACGGCCGTCTGGATTTCCATCTGCAGGGTCCTCTTTGCTGCTTTAATCCCATCCTGCAACACAAAACACATCAATTAGATCCCGGCGGCTGCCGCCCCACAGAAGCAAACCCCTCCTCGTCACCTGGTAGTGATGCAGCTGCACGCTCTCCCTCTTCAGACCTCCGCTGCCAACGGTGCCGAGACCGAAACATCCCGCCAGGAACTGCAGCCTGACGGAGGTGAGCAGGGAGGAGGACTGGAAGGCAGCGCTGGAGCGGTCGGCGCTCTCCGGCTGGCTGCCTTTCTCCTCCATGCCGGAGATCAGCACAACGATCTGATGGAGCGCCTCCAACCGCAGCTGGAGGGAGAGCACAGGGACAATGTGACGAGCTGAGAGCAGAACCAGGAGCTCCTCCACGCCGGCTTTGCAGGGATGCACTCAATATCTTTGCTGCACATTTGCATCAACAGGCATCAAACGGATCTAAGCTTCCATATCGATGAGTCGTTTTCTCCTTTTCGGCTACAAAGTTCAAAGGTCAGCAGCTGCCTCACCTCCGCCCTGCTCTGCTGCTGCTCCATGGCCAAGATGGCTGCCTGTGGACTGGTGGACATCCCCTCCTCCGGTTCCTTGAAGGCCGGAGCCAGGCCCACGTCGCCGCTGATGAAGCTGACCATGTTGTCGATGAGAGCGTGGATCCCCAGGGAGCGGTTCAGGTCCAGGTCCGACTCTTCGTACGAGTGGGCCGAGCCGTAGCTGCGCTGGTGGCTGAGCTTAGACCTGAACCAGGACTCGGCCAGGGAGTCGGGAGAGCTGTGGAGTATTCCTGATAGGAGAAGAGGAACCTTTCAGGAGGAGGTTTATGAGCCCAGATCAAGTTCTGGCGGACAGACTGAAGCTGCGACGCCCTCAGGAGTAGCAGAGCAACACGTTTTAAACTAAAAAAGTTCTTCAGATGAGAGAAGCCTGATTCCACATGCGGGCACATTGGAAGCTGCAGGAGCAGAGCGTGGCCCGCTGGTCCTGATCAGACCTCAGTGCTTCATATATCCCATTTACACTACCCTTGAAAAACCGTGCCGAGACCGGTCCGAGCTCAGTAACTGAGATAACTTATCGTGTGTAAATGGAAAGCAAACTGAACCGAACCGAGCTAACTGCAGACCAGTTCCAGAGGTGGGCTCGGCTCGGTTTTTCCCTGGCTCGGTTCTCTGATAACAAGAGCGCATGAGCAGAACGCGTCATCTCTGTCTGGCTGTACATCGCGATTCACACTCCATTCCAGTAGTTGGCGGTAATGCCCCTCCAGAAACAGAAGAAGAACAACAACTTCTTCAACTATAAACAATATTTGAAATCTTCTCCACGCAACATTTTAAATAATGGCATTTTAAATAATAACACCGAAGTACAGCAATAATAATCAAGCATAACTTTCTGAATGTGACGGGCGCCGCCATTTTGATTTGCTTGATTCCCTCCTTCTTCGTCTTCTTTTTCTTCTGTTTAATGGCGGTTGGCAAACAACTTTTGGTGCATTACCGCCACCAACTGCTTGATTTTCTCCTTCAATACTGGCAGTAATACCGCAGATCGTCACTAGGAGGCGAGGAGTCGAGATAGCATGATGTGTAAACGGTCGTCAGAACCGAGCTCGGCCTGGTTAACTGACCCGAGCTCGGACCGGTCTCGGCATGGATCGGTTTTTCAAGGGTAGTGGAAATGGAGCTATATTTTCCTTCC